ATGGGATTGGCATCCCGGGATTGCCAGCTTGTGTGATAACTAGGAATTACACAAGCTTCAGTCTGGATCTAGCCCTTACAAAGACCTGAAATGACCGAACACCTGAGAAGAGATGATGCAAACCCATTAGAGGACCTCAGATGATGCCAACCCTGAAACAACATAAACTACCAAATTTTGCTACAAATTTGATTGCAACATATAATCATTGCTGTTAATAGTGTTCATCGTCTGTTTGATTACGTCATTAACTGAATTTTACCATACATTTCTGCCATATGTACATCAATTTGACAGTCACCACTGACAAGCTACTACTACATATATTGTAGAAACTTAATTTTCTGTAAACCTGCTTTGCAACGATTTGTATCGTGAAAAGCGCTATACAAATGAACTTGAATTGAATTGAATAAACGAGGAACATCACAAGCAATTTATCATGAGCAACAATATTCATTGCACACAATGCCAAGTATAAAGAATAAACAAACAAACAAATGAAAAAGAGTTATAGTAAGTGTCTTTGTTTACACTCATGGATTTGTTACTGTGCTTGAGGAAGAGGTGTGTCTTCTGTTGTTTTTTTTAAAATTGTGACGGTGTCAGCAGACCAGATGGAGGTTGGCAGTTCATTCCACCAAAGAGGAACACAGGGTTCCCATGGGTCTTTAAAAACATCATAAGACGTCTTAAAGATTTTAGGCTTTTAATAATTCTCGAATAGCTCAAATATTCTAAAAAGAAGTCTTAAATATTATTTTCAGTAGACTATTAATGCAGATTCACACGACTGAGTTTAAAGGCAGTCACACTAGACATTTCTCCATTGACATTCATTCATATGCATGTGAATGCAAGAAAACACAAACAGTTTCACATTTCACTGCATAGGAAAATTTGGGGAATTTTCTGACCCTTGAATTCATATGACATGAAGATGAGTAACTAATGAAAGATCAATATGTCTCACAGGGTGATATCTTGACTGAATTCAAATAACACAAACTTTAAAGCTGCAAATAGATGATATACCTTCATGCTTTGAATTAAATTCATGTTTGTTATTTATTTACAGACATCATATCCCAACCATTGCAGTGGCCAAAATTTCAAAGGCTAAAGTCTTGTGTAATCACAGCTTTAAAGCCTTCTATACACTGCACGATTTTCGGCTGTCCCAGATGAAATATTGCCGGCTATTTCTGTGATTGTGGCTCCTAAACGTCGGTCCTATATCGTACAGTGAGAGAGGTTCAAAGATGGCCGTTGTCACGGTCTTGCGACCAATGATAACCTACAATATTTTTCTGACAGTGTCAGAAATTCAGCATGATCATCGCACAGTGTGTTTGCTGCTACGTCCCACGTTTACTGACCAGCCAATAAAAATGCCACATGAAATTAACGTGACACGGTGCTACAACATAAAACTGCTTACCTCAAGCTCTTATCCCTTCCTCTTTCACCAGTGGCTCCTAAACGTCGGTCCTATATCGTACAGTGAGAGAGGTTCAAAGATGGCCGTTGTCACGGTCTTGCGACCAATGATAACCTACAATATTTTTCTGACAGTGTCAGAAATTCAGCATGATCATCGCACAGTGTGTTTGCTGCTACGTCCCACGTTTACTGACCAGCCAATAAAAATGCCACATGAAATCAACGTGACACGGTGCTAAAACATACAACTGCTTACCTCAAGCTCTTATCCCTTCCTCTTTCACCACTTCCACTTTTTTTGTTCACCACTAGCACATGCTGATGATGTTTTATTCTTCTATAGTAACGTGCGTCGTAGCCTACGAGTCAATAGGTGTCATCATCGTACAGTCTGCATGCATGTCGTACCCAAGATTATCAGATCCATGTCGCACAGTGTGATTTGCAATGATCTTATAGGATTGCTAAAATCGTGCAATGTGTAGAAGGCTTAAGGCTTTGAGCAAATCGTTTCCATTCCCACTTACCAGAGAAAACAGATGCTCCATACCACTCACAATCTCAGGTTCTGAAGTAAAGATTCAGAGAATATAATCAAATCTGTGGAATATTGGAATATTGTTGACTTTGAGAGAGGCATTATTCAAAAGTATCTTCTTTTGTGTTCCACAGAAGACACAAATAAATAAATACAAACAGGAGAGTAAGTTTACAGAATTGTTTTTTTCTTTTTTTATGAACTACCCCTTTAAGGTCTCTGCATTCTTTGTTTATTGTTCTTTTTTTTCCTTTTTCTTTTTTCCCTTTGTAAATAAATACAAAGTTTGATTCAGCCAGCCATCATCAAAGTTCTCACAGATGTCCATTTTACAGTTTTTGTTTAATAAATATTGTTTGTGTACATGTCTGTATGTATGATTAAATATAGCTAATTCTTCCATAACCTCATTTAGTGAAAACTTGTTTAGTGAATACATAATGTATTCTGATTCTGATATGTATTTTGTGTGTGCTTGCTCTGGTGTAGAACTATTGTATTAATTTTATTAATTCAAATCTTAAACAGCATTACATTTTATGCTAAAAAATGTGCAGCAACCCTGAAACCGAAAGTTTGGGAAATTCCCCTTTAAAAGGAACGACCATATGACACAACAACAACAACCTGTTGCAGCAGTCAAATACATGTTTTGAAAAATAGCACAGACAAAAATGAGAATATATGGCTTTTTGCTATATTTTTAGGTCACACACAAATACACACGTTTATATAAATATTATATATAATTACAGTTGTTGTTTTACAATTTAAATAAATGAAAACTATAACTTTCCAATGAACAGAAGCAGGAAATTACTGATGAAGGAGCATTGTGCTCTAGAATCAAAATGATAATTTGTGTCTGCATTACAGTAATATCCACCGTATTATGCAGTTACATTACTTTGTGATTTACGATGTTTAGACTATTAGGTCCAAAACCTTCACTATATTTATTCATTTTATTGATTTTGAAGCTGAATAACGACATTACTGCCTTCTGTAAAACCGCTGATAGCTGAATTGAACTTCTTTCAAAATAGATTAATTGCACACTCTTACTGATCTAAGCTGAATCAATTAACTTGAGCTAAATAATGTCACTGTTGTCTTTTAGAGCTGCTTTACAGCAGAATCTGAACTGTCTCCATAGTTGAGATTGTTCCATAATTGATTCTGTTATTTTCCTGTTTATCTCTGTGAAGCTGCTTTGAATCAGTCTGCATTGTATAAATTGCTATAGAAACAAAGATGATTTGACTTGATTATATCAGTGGATCTCAAACATTTTGACTCAAAGGTCCCACAATACTCTAACGCCCCACAATTCATTCAATGATTCCAGAAGTTTCAAGAAAAACTTCAATAAAAACAATAATTATTATGGGAAAATAAAAAAAAGAAATACGATTTCAGATCTTTATTTTTTATTTGAATTTACTTTAGAGTTAGATAATTTTAATATATTAATATTAATAATTCATTAATTTAAATACTTTTAAGTCATCCTGTGGAAGTTTGCTACAATACAAGATTCTTAAATTTGTAATCCCACACCAGTTACCCCTTACGCATAGAAAATATATTTCCTTATATATGAATGATCAATAGATTAATTGATTTAACGACATATTGAAAATATATAGAATAATATCTTGTTAATATGTTACAATATACAGCGAGCTCCTGAACGACTTACAGAGGAAGAAGTAGATGAGAGGATCCAGCACAGAATTAAGGGAGGAAAGCCACAGCGTGCTCTCCTTCAGCTGGAAGAAAAATAGCTTCTGCTGGCAATTGAACATGCGTACTTGTGTCTGGCTAATGGTGTACGGCACTCGGGCGAAGTGGAAGGGAACGAAGCAAACAAAGAAGACCGCCAACACTAGGAACACGTTGGCTTGAATGCTTTTTTTGTGGGGGGCGTTCGTTCCTGGCCTTGCCTGGTGTTGAGCTCGTGTGCGGTCGTAAGACTTGTAGAGCTCTTTCGAGATGAGCATGTAGCATACTATCACCGTCACAAGGTTTCCCCAAAATATCACCTGGCACACGTGGTTGACTAGCTCGTGCCACTTCAGTCCCATCTCTATCTTGAGGTCACTGCATTTAAAGCGGCTGGAAGTGTTGGGACGGCTTGTCAGGATTACATTGGGCAGCGAAAGAGCCAACAGCGATGTCCATATGAAGCCCAAGAGGAGCTTTCTGTGCAGCAGGCGTCTAGGGCTGGTGCCCACAAAGGGCCAAATGGTCTTTCTGCAGCGATCGATGCTGATCAGGCCGAAGAACAGGATACTGATGTACATTGTGAGGTAGAAGAGCACGGATGATACGCGACAGACGAAAACACGTTCACCGACAGATGCTAAGTTCGCATCGGCGAGGATCTTGAAGGGGAAGGTGAGGGTCATGATAATATCGGCCACCACAATGTTCTTCAGATAGATGCTGAAGTGAGATTTACTGGGGATTCGGAGGAACACCCATGCTGCCAGGCCGTTCAGCGACAAGCCCAGGATGAAGAGGACGGTGTAGAGAAGAGGGAACACGGTTGTCTTCAGAGTGCTGAAGAGTCTCCGACGACGACTCATTCCTGATGGTCTGGTTGGAGTCAGTGTCCATGAGGAATGCCAGCGCTGTTGTGAGCTCCATGGATGTGTAATTTCTGTGACATAAAACACACATTGGCTATGTTTAGAATAGAAGAACTTCAGGCAATATCAGCCACAATTTTTTACGTTCTCCTTGACTCATAATTTAAGTGTATAATACAAAGGATTTATTGTTGAATATGTTATTAGAAGCCAGTGCATAAAACTGTGTGCCCAAAATCACAGCACATTACTTCTAAAGCAAGCTGACAATGTTTTACATTCAGAGCTGTCAGAGTCAATTTGGTGGAAATTTCAAGCTTCTGCCATTCCTATGTCATTTCTGAAACAAAGAAAAGAAGGTCCAACTACTATTGTGACAGATATGCTATTTATTTTACAGTTTTAAATGGGACAGTAAAAGCATAACAGCCTTTTCCCTTGGATTACAGTGTTTTCCCAGTAGATAGTGTTAATGATAAGGGAAATGTTAGAGGTCATTGTTTAGGAATATTAAGCCATTTGATGTGGTTTTAGAAGAATATTACTTTCTTAAAGACTTTATACTCACAGTATAAATGTAATCTCGATACTACTATTTTTTTTTTTTTTTTTACAATATTACAATATTTGAATTATTTAATAAATAATGTATAATAACATACTGGTAAAAAATATATAGTCTGAATGCACTGTAAGTCGCTTTGGATAAAAGCGTCTGCTAAATACATAAATTATTAATTATTATTAAATTATTATAATATTAATAAACATTTGAGGTAACCAGTAATTATAATGAAAATACATTTCCTTTTTTAAAATAGCATCTAGAGGAGTGGAGAGTAATCCTAAAAGTTAATACTAAAAGACATCATTACTCATAATTGCACTCTGTAAAATATTTTGTGGTGCTTGTTTTGAAAGCCGTTATTGTCTTTGTATTATGAAAATGTAACACCTACCTCAACAAGACGCCAGGATCAAATGTGATGCGTTTACTTGAAATAGAGTCATTTCATGGGTTTAGGAAACAAGTTTGATTTTAGGGCCTTTCTGAAATCTTCTGCTTTTTGTTTCCTGCTATGCCATGCAGACACAAGGAGAAGTTTAAAACGGTCTAAAAGCTGCTGTTACGTCAACTGTGTATTGGTTCAGCATCTTTTGTGCTGACTGAGCCAAACAGAGTTTGTGACTTAAAAACCACTGAAAAAAACAAACAATGGTGAAACACATTTGGCCTTAAATTTAAATATGTATTTAAATATCATTTTGAAATTGGAGAGGTGAGGTGTCCAAGTCGCAACATCTAACTACTGGGGTGCCTCAGGGCTCAGTTCTTGGACCACTTCTCTTCTCTGTCTACATGGCATCATTAGGTTCTTTCATTCAGAAGCATGGCTTTTCTTGTCACTGCTATGCTGATGACACTCAACTCTACCTCTCATTCCATCCTGATGATCCGACGATAGCTGCTCGCATCTCAGCTTGTCTAACAGACATTTCTTGCTGGATGAAGGACCATCACCTTCAACTTAACCCTGCCAAGACAGAACTGCTTGTGGTTCCAGCAAACTCATCATTTCATCACAATTTCACCATCCAGTTAGCCTTTACCTAAATTCATTACTTCAGACTTGTGTGCCCTCCAGAAGCATGCGTTCTGCAAGTGAACGTTGCTTTATTGTGCCATCCCAAAGAAGCACAAAATCACTTTTACGGACTTTTAAAATGTTAAATGTTCCCTCCTGGTGGAATGACCTGCCCAACTCAATCTCTATTCTAATTCTATTCTTAAAAAATCTTGTCCCTTTTAGACTTGCACTCTATTCATTTGCTGCTTGTTTTCTTAAAAAAAAAAAAACTAACACTTGCTTTCTAATCTTTTTGCATTCTATCTGTTTTCTTTTCATTTATTATACAATTAACAAAAGCAAAAAGACATCTAACACTAGCTTGCTCTATTCTTTTTCTATTCTAT